AAAAAAAAAAAAAATACAAAAAATTAGCTGAGCATAGTGATGGGTGCCTGTAATTCTAGCTACCTGGGAGGCTGAGGCAGGAGAACTGCTTGAACCCAGGAGGCAGAGGTTGCAGTGAGCGGAGACCGCGACATTGCACTCCAGCCTGGGAAACAGAGCAAGACTCTGTCTCAAAACAAAACAAAACAAAACAAAACAAAACAAAACAAAAATACATGAGTAAAGGCACCAAGATATAATTTCACCATTCTGTTTCTTCAGTCAACCTGGATCAAGTAGCTTCTTGGCAGGACCAGCACCATTTTTAAGAGGCCTGGGACTGAAGAAACTCTACACAACTGAGACTGTTTTGAGATTTGTATTATTCATTTTTGTCTTCTCAGCCCTAAGCTTTAGTTCTCTGTTGCTTAACGACATCAAAGGAAGTCTATTTTATTGACATTTATATATTATTTAATCCACTAAATATTTATGCCAGGCATTGTGCTAGAAGGCAGAAGGTAGCCAGAAGAATAATATACACTTGGTCCTTGTTCTCATGGAGACTGCATCCCAACTGGGGGAGACAGACCTGCCATTTTCCTGTTAGAGAAAAAAAAACGAGAGATGGTGTAGTACTGATGGACCCCAATTAGCTGTGCAATATTGAATAAATTAATCTCTCTGTGCTCCAGTGTCCTCATTTTAGCAGAAAATAATTCCTACCTTATGGTGTTGTTATGAGTTTCAGTTAATATCATTCAATTGATCCACTGCTCTATCTTTATACCAGAATGCCAAGAGTAGCTCCTGGTACCTAAGTGTGTAATAAATGATAGTTAAGAAAAAAAAACATAGTTGTTGTACATTGTGGTAAGTACAATTAAGAGCTTGATCTTATATCCTCCATCAAAGATTCTAAATTCCTTGAGGATAAGGATCATCATATCTTGGTATCTTAGTGTCCTCATGGCACCTTACACATAAGTACTAAACAGATATTTAAATAAATAAGAGATTCTATAGTCTTCGTTAAAAATATTTAAGAATATAATGCTAACTTTAAAGTCAGGGATTCAGTGACTCCTGATAACTTTATTTCCCAATTTGGTACTAAACTGACTTTTATGACAAACTGGTATACTCTGTCTTACCAACAAGACTTTCATAATCTAGTATGCTTCAAACATTTTGTCCTGGCTGCCAGGAAGCTATACATTTCCTGACATCCCATACGTATTTTGATTTTCCAGTGATGTTTTAATGGTCTTTTTATAAAGTTATTATAAGTGAACTACTTCAAAATTTACGTATCTGTCAAATTTGCCATGTTCTTTCTAGAGGTGTTCTCCTTTAAGGGAAGAAAAATACATTCATAGTACATAGAAAACAACAACAACAACGTATACCTAGATGAAATTCCCGGTTTTTCAGAACTAATCAGATGAAGATCTGCCTATAGGAAGTATCACTTTGGGGTATTTTGTGGTTTCTAGGCATCACCACCTGTGGTCCTCTAAACCATCTGGAAGATACTATTGGTTTAAGTGAAATTTAAGTCAGCTGAATTTGCGCCAGCAATTTATCAGTTGTGGCCACAATCATCTAATCACTCAAATAAAGGTAGCAGGTAGGAAGAACCTGTTTGAGGGGCGAAGTAGCAACAAAAGATTCAAAACATGGTGCAAAGACTCCAGGTGAACACTTAAGGCAGGATGGCTATCTTAGCAATCACAGATGCCAATCAGAAACACTTGTTTCATTAACTGTTTCACAGACATCTGTGGTCAAGCCTGTATAAGGAGAGAAAAAGCATGTCAGGGTAATTTAGAACAATTAAAAATGTTGGGGTTTTTTTTTTTTTTAAACTAACTTCTTCGACGTGTTTGAAGTCAGGGAAAGGAATGGGAAAGGGTGGAGGGAAAACACACAGAAATGCACTTGTGTAGTAAGCAACCCAATGCCTTGCTAAAAATATTTCCCCTAAGACCATGCTCTTTCCTAAATGTTGTAATTATGCAAAATGTTTTCCTCCCTTTCTTCCCCCACTCCCTTCTAGTTTGCCTATTGCAGACATCAACTGCTTCTGTAGAAACATTCAGGAACCTCAAAGAGAGCCCCATGCAGCTGTGCCCATCACAGCCAGTGTCAAGGAGACAACCCTTCCTTTCCAGGGCTGGGCACTCAATCAGAACATCACAGGACACCCAGTGAAACAACACTCGGTCTCCCGTCTAACCAAGGGAATGTGAAGCAGCTACCCATAGAAACCATTCTTAGGAACTAATCACTTATAAAAGGCAGCCAATGCTTCATGAGTATCAGTTCTTTTGACTTTCATTTCAAATGACAGAGACCAGTGGTTCTCAACCTTGGACGCACACTGGAATCACCTGGGGAGCTTTAAAAACTACTAAAGCCTGGGTCCCACCCCAGAATTTCTGATTTAATTGCTCTGGATGAAGCCTGGACATCAAAATTTTTAGAAGCTCCCCAGGTGATTCTAATGTTTGAACAAACTTGAGAATCTCTACTCAGTAGTTCTCAAACTTGAAGGTGCATCAGAATCTCCTGAAGGACTTGTTAAAACACAGATTGCTGGGCCCCACTCCTCAGAGTTCTGATTCAGTAGGCCTGGGATAGGTCCTGAGCATGTACATTTTTAAAAAATCCCAGGTGAAGCTGTTGTCACAAGTTTTGGGAATCACACTGCTTTAAATCTTCAGGGAGAAACGTATTTGAGAAAAAGAAGACATACATCTAGGAAAGGAGTTCTAAAAAAACCTTTCCTATTTCAATGTTCATAAGGGAACTCCTGAATCTACCATCTCAAGTTAGCCTTTGCCCAGAAGGGTAACTTGAAGCTCTGAGCCCACCTCTGAAGGCCTTTCATGCCCCTAAGCATGATCACAGTCCCTACCAGGGCTCCTTTCCATCAAATAAGCCCAATGATTTGCTACTGTCGTTCATTTATGCAGGAGCTTAAAAGCCCAATTATCCTCACCCAACAAAAGGCTCCCTTCTTCCTTTTGATTCACATTTAATTACTTCGTTAGAGAAATCCTAAAATTTAAAAATCTGTGACAATGCACTAAAAACAACAAAACACAGACCCTCACAAAAACTGTGAGTACCCCCTTTTATCCAGAAATTTCAGAAACTTAGTTTCAAGAATCGAGAATGATAATACAAAAACATTCAGCTAGATGAATGTTCACTGAATTTAGGAATAATCTGGAAATACCCACTTTTCAGCAACAGGTAATTAGCTAAATACATACCCATGCAGTGAGTACTGTGCAGCCATTAAAGAGAAAATCATAGAGGAATGTTGGGTGCCATAGAGATGACATTGGTTGTGCAGTACGGAAGGAGATGAAGAGTATGGGCTCTGGAGCCACAGGGCTTGGTTTAGAGTTCTGGCTCAGCCCTTACAGCCACATGCCCTTGGGCAAATCTTTTATCCTCTCTGAGCCTCGGTTTCCTCATTATCCTATGGGGCAAATAAAAATATCTATCCTATAGGGCTGCTATGAGAATTAAATGACTTAATTAATGCATGTAAAGAACACAGAACAGTGTTTGAAACATAGTCAGTGTTCAATGTGAGTTAATGACTATTGTTAAAAAAAAGACTATAAAACAATGAGTCCTGTATAATCTGTATAATTCTATATTTACATATGCACAGGAAAGACTGAAAGACTACATAGCAACTTAATGGTTATCTATGGGCAGTGAGATTCAATTTTCATCTTTTTGCCTGTTTGCAGTTTCTAAATTGTGCGTAGTCAGTATTTATTGCTTATGCTAAGAATAAGCTACGAAAGTTTATATTTTAAAGAAAACTAGCTCAAAAGCAAGCTCCTCCAAGAAACTGACATTCTAGCTCCATTCTGACCACTTCCTTGAAGCCATATGCTTTGGAACACTTATGCATCTTATTTGTTTCCAATTACTTTCACCCTAATTAGTAGGTCAGCACTAATGAAGGCAAAGTTACAGGCTCAACCTTGCCCACTGCTCCTGCTGCTAATTAGAGTGAGATTATCTCAGAGACTTACTGAATTAAGTTGATCCCAAAGGGATTGGGCACAAGAACTCAAGGAGACAGCATACACTCTTGATATAAAACTATCATCTTCACATAAAAATAAATGTTAGGATAAATGATAATCCAGGCTTGTGGGTAAACTGCTTTATTTCTGTTCTCATTAGAGGTACTTTTTAAAAGTCCAATTAGAAAATATTTCTTTTATGTCCTTCAACAAAGCATTTTGTACAAAATATACCTCTCCACTCCCATCCCTAATACTCCCTACCCACTGCTAGCTCACTTCACCACCAGCCCCCTCAAGTTTGGTGAAGAACACCTTAAATTTCCCTCCCATGTTAAAAGTGGCAACCATTTATCATATGATAATAATTACAATGTAGAGTTACCCACCCAAGCATTCAAACTAAGTAAAACCTAGAGACACATTTTTAAAACTCTAAGACATCCTTGGACCCTCACTGACATAACTATAAAACATACGAAAACCATCCTCACTGACATAACTCCTAAATTCTGGTTTAAGCTGATCATGTCATGTAAGCTATTATATATAACCTCCATTTCTGGAAATGGGGAAATAAGGTGCATTTATTTTTTCTCCAAATTGTCCTATACTCTAAAAAGTTGGGATCACTGCTAATGAAAATGGCAGCCCTCACAGGGCTTAGGGGCATGTTTAAACCCTGCGTGTAAAATAATTGAAGATTACAATCAATTAGCTTTATATTCATGAGCTAATATTCATAAGCAAGGTTTAATCTATGATCTCAAATCTCAGCCTGGAAACTGAGCAATTTTAAGCTTGAGTATTATTCAAAAAAAGAAGAAGAAAGAAAGAAGAAAAGAAAGAAAAGAAAAAGAAGGAAAGAAGGAAGGAAAGAAAAAGAAAGAAAAGAAAGAAAAAGAAAGAAAGCGAGAGAGAGGTCTGGGCACAGTGGCTCATGCCTGTAATCTCAGCACTTTGAGGGGGGGTGTGGGGGGTGGTGGTGGTAGATCACCTGAGGTTAGGACTTTGAGACTAGCCTGACCAACATGGTGAAACTCTGTCTCTAGTAAATACAAAAAATTAGCTGGACGTGGTGGTGCATGCTTGTAGTCCCAGATACTTGGGAGGCTGAGGCAGGAGAATTGCTTGAATCTGGGATTTGGAGGTTGCAGTGAGCAGAGATTGTACCATTGCACTCCAGCCTGGGCAACAAGAGCAGAAAAACTGTCTCAAAAAAAAAAAAAAAAAAAAAGAAAGAAAGAGAGAGAGAAAGAAAAAGGAGAGAAGAGAAGCGAGGAAAGACAGGTTCCTTACCTTCATGGCTGCTGGAGAAATAACCCCCTCTCATGTAGGATGACTGGCAGTTAGGCACTTCTGAAAGGGAAACAAAGGTGGACACAATCCCATCAATCATTGCTGCAGCAGAAGCAGCATATCGGTCAACTGCAGTGCTGGTAAAGCCTCTAAACCTCCTGCTCCTCCATGTCTGGGATCATATCTTTTTGGCTTTGTCCTGGGAAAGAGGTGCCACCCAATAAGCAAGATGGCAAACACCATAACCCACCATCTGAAAGGAAGGCTCTCCTAATCAAGAGTCATGGGAGGAAAGAAAAAAGATGCTTCACTCTCATTGTTTGCTCATTTTAGAAATTAGCACCAAATCTGGTGAAAGAGCTAATGGCAGGGGAAAAAATATTGGCCTTCAAAAGGCCAAGCCTGGCCTCTTGCCCATGCTGACTCGTGGGCATTAGGGTGGGAAGGAGAAGAGGATGGCTTTAGATCTTTTCCAATTTGCTCCCCTTTACTGCTGGTGGCCACATCCAATTATGCTACAAGAGGTGGGAATATTTTTAGGCCAAAGGGATTAGGGGACCTGAAGTTAGGAAGTCAGGACTCGCTCTGGCAGGGGTAGAAGACTGCAGTTTGGTACATTTTTGCCGTGCTGGGACTGTCACACTGAAACTGAACCACACTCAAGTGATCTATTCTTCAGGCATCATGTTATCAGTGTCCATTGAGAGGAAAGACAGTCAGTTGAGTTGTGTCCACGTGGGATGAGCCCTGGGAACACAACTCAGGTCAAACACAACTCAGATATGGTAACATCTGTTGAGTGCCTTGCTTTAAGGGAGTGGAGTGGGGTACAAAACCCATCAGAACAGATCAAAATGTCAGTCTTAAAGGAAAAAATGTTGCTGTTCATGCTACTCTTGAGAAAAATCCATCAAAGCTTTCAAGAGGAATGCTTATGGAAATGTTTACACACGATCACTACCTCATACTTGGTAAGTTTTCTGTCATAAAGCAACATTTCTCTCCTTTCTGCCTACTTCCCCAGCATTTCCCATAACCAGTTTGTGCCTGAATAGATTAATCTCTGTATTATCTCAGAGAACGTCAAAAGCAAATTCCATCCAAAACTGAACCCCGACAATCTTCGGGCTTAGACTCAGAGATGTACTTCATACCACTTCTGAATGCCTACTGCACTTCCTACTATTTACATAGCTTTTCTGTTTGTTTGTTTGTTTTGAGACAGAGTATTGCTCTGTTGTCCAGGTTGGAGTGCAATGATGGGATCTTGGCTCACTGCAGCCTCCACCACCTGGTTTCAAGCAATTCTCCTGCCTCAGCCTCCTGAGTAGCTAGAATTACAGGTGCGCCACCACATCCGGCTGATTTTTTTTGGATTTTTAGTAGAGACAGGTTTCACCATGTTGGTCAAGCTGGTCTCAAACTCCTGATCTCGTGATCCACCCACCTCAACCTCCCAAAGTGCTGGGATTAACAGGAGTGAGCCACTGTGCCCGGCCAGCTTTTCTGTTTTGTATTACACTGTGCATAAACATGTCAGCTTTACTAGCTCCTGCGTTATATGAGGACAATTCTTATAAAATGATTCCCCAAGGCCCTGCACGTATAAAACGCTGAATAATGAGACAGAAGAATGCAAGAATGAAGCAATGACAAGCAAGATTTTCTGCTGACCTGAATCGACGCAGTAATCCCGAGGCTCCTGCTTGATTCCCATTGGTGACTGGAACCCATGTGCTGGGGGGCCTGGCATGCCCGGGACCCCATGTTCATAGAGCGGGTCATGGTATTCTTGTTTGAATCCCTGAGGGGGTGGGGGAGCTGCAGGGACAATAGGTTCTGACATTTGCCGATGGTAACTGGGGCGATTATCTCCAGAAACTCCTGGCTGAGGAGGGAAGGGGTGGCAGGGTTCAGACAGTTGTCTCTGAAATCTGTAAGAACAAAAAGGTTTTCATGTTGAACTAAGACTTGATGAATACCTACTAGACCGAGCACTGGGGACTAGACGTTCCAATTAATGGAATTACTTGCAAAGTATTTAATAATGCTTATTTCTGGACATTTTACCTAAACTCTTCCCAAAATTACACTGTGTATTTCAAAGCTCTTGAGTCAGGAAGTGGCAAAAAAACATAACAAAACAAAAAAAGCAATGATGTGGTAGCCTCTAATCTCCCATGTGTGTTTATTTTATGCACAATTTGTACAGATTACGTATCTGAATATATAAGATCAATTATTTGCAAATAGCACTAACATATACATAAATGTTTATTCACTAGTTCATCCATTCTCTTACCTAAGATAGAAGGAATTTTTAAAGACTGAATACAAACTAACCAGTTAGAAAATGTAGTGTGTTTTTTTGTTTTTAAAAGAGAGAATCCCGGGGCCGGCTTTAGCTCAGCAGTTACTTCGACAATGTTTTCTACGGTGGAAACAATCACTCTGTGAGGTTCGAGACAGGCGGGCGCTCTCCAGCCCTTCAAAAAAAGAGAATCCCATTCATAGTAGCAATAAAAAAATATAACATTCCTAGGAATAATCAGGAAACCTATAGGCCATATATGAATAAAAGCTTGAAATTGTTTTCTGAGGAAAAGAAAGAAAAAAGAGCTAAGAGAAGATATTTAGGACTTTGAAGCTATTGATTGATTCACTGAAAATTATTCTATAAAAGCAAATGCCTTCCCAACTAACTTGACAAAATAATTCTAAACTTTATTTTGAAAAGACATAAGGACCCACTAGCTATTGACGTCATAAAACTACAATAATTAAAACAGTAATACAAGGAATTGAAAGACTGGCAGATCAAAGGAATTGAATGGAAAGCCAAAAACTGTCAAATATATTCCAAAATTTATTACTTGTTAAGGTTAGCATTTCAAATTAGTTGGGGGAAAAAGACCCCATTTTATATAGGTATAAAAATAAATTTATAAGGATTAAAGGTTCCAATATAAAAAGTGGAACCAGCCAGGCATGGTGGCTCATGCCTACAATCCCAGCACTTTGGGAGGCTGAGGTGGGCAGATCGCTTGAGGTCAGCTTGGCCAACATGGCAAAACTCTATCTCTACTAAAAATACAAAAAAATTGGCCGGGTGCAGTGGCTCACGCCTGTAGTCCCAGCACTTTGGGAGGCTGAGGCGGGCGGATCAGGGGGTCAAGAGATGGAGACCATCCTGGCCAATATGGTGAAAACTGTTTCTACTAAAAATAAAAAAATTAGCTGGGCATGGTGGAGCAGGCCTATAGTCCCAGCTACTTGATAGGATAAGGCAGGAGAATCGCTTCAACCTGGGCGGTGGAGGTTGCCGTGAGCCAAAATTGTGCTACTGCACTCCGGGCTGGTAACAGAGCGAGGCTCCATCTCAAACACATACACACAAATACACACGCGCACGCACACACACACACACACACACACAGAAATTAGCTGGGTGGGGTGATGTGTGCCCGTAATCCCAGCTACTCAGGAGGCTGCGGCTTGAGAATCAGTTGAACCTGGGAGGTGGAGGTTGCAGTGAGCCGAGATTGCGCCACTGTACTCCTGCCTGGGCAACAGAGCAATACTGTCTCAAAAAAAAAAAAAAAAAAAAAAAAAAAAAAAAAAAAAAAAAAAAAAAAAAAAAAAAAAAAAAAAAAAGAAACCATATGAAAGTAAGTATGTATGAAAACTTACATAATTTTGGAGTGAGGGAAAACCTAACTATCATACCAATAGCAGAAGTCGTCAAATAAACCTGGATATATCTCACCGTATAAATTTCTGTAAGTTAAAGACACCAGAAACAAAACCAAAAGAAACACATCAAATTAGGGGGAAAGAATCTGTAGTAGTCAGAACACACCAGAAACAAAACCAAAAGTAAAACTAAGGAAAAATCTAACAGATATAGCAATCTCACTGTTGACATAAAGAGCTTTTAGAAATTAATAAAAGATGAACATATCAAGAGGAAAAGAAAGGGCGAAGGACATAAGCAGGAATACCCTTAAATAATAGCAATGGTCATAAACATAAAGTGTAACTCATTAGTAATTTAAAAAGTAACAAAGTCAAAAGAGAAGTATTTTTTCCTTTTAACTTTGAAGATGGGCAGGCAGTTAATAATTCTATGTCAGGTACCTAAACAGCACTTCAGTCACAGATGATCAGGTATACCTACCAAGATGGTCACCAACACAGTTATCTAACAAGGAAACTGGCTATATATATTGTGATATAGTCATTTAGTTGAAAGCAACCATTAGAAATTATATAATGTGAATATATAAGGGCTTGGAAAGGTATTTTTGACATATTAAGGAAGATTGCTAAACAGTACATACAGTATCAAAGGTTGGTAAAAATTATAGTATTACGGTGTCATATAAAACCACAGAAAGATTTACACTTAAATATTAACATTGCCAATCTTTGTGGTGGTTATAACTTTAGGTGATTTTCTTTTTCTTGCTCATCTATAGTTCGATAATAAATATGCACTGTTTTTATGGTGAGATAGAACAATAAAAATCTGTTATTAGTTGAGTCTCCTTAACAATCTTCAGCTGTCAGATAAATCCAGATGTGTACCAGCTGCCCTTTCCCTGTTGGGTGGGCAGCGTAGAGGGAAAGCCTGCCACCCCTTAGTAGGGAAATGACGGAAGGCAAAGTTTCTTGGCTTTGTTTGCTTATCTGTGACAGGAGGATACATTATCCTCCAAATGCTTCTGAAAGAGTGAAACTACAATGATGTCTGTAAAGCATGGTTTTTGCCACAGCCGTGACTGACAGACTAGGATAGAGTTCAGGACGGTGGCTGTTCAGAAGTTGGAGGTGTGCGACTCTCAAACCATGAAATATGCACTAAGCACTGATCTTTGCGTATAAAGAAAAGCATTTGTGAATACATACCCTCAGGTAGAAAGGTTCAAGGAAAAATAATACAATCCAGTAATATTAAGGTCTTATTCTCTACTTTTAGCTTGAATTCTATTGATAAACAGAATTCTTAAATAGCTTTAATAAAATAGTTTGATTTGAATCAATCTGTGGGAACAGGTGGCAAACAGATTTCTAGAACATCAAGATTTGAAATCTCAAACTGAAGAGATCTGTGTGCAGACAGAACACTGTCTAGATCAGAGTACAGCATGCTGTCTTTATTACTCTACCTAAAGCAGCACGGTAAGTTCATTTTATAATATGAAAATTACTGGGCAATTTTCATACACTTATCCTTTTATCCCAGACATCAAAAGCTTCAGAATCCACCTGGCCAATGTCTTAAACAAGGTTCAGTGGGCTGATAGCCTTTCACGGGGGCACTGAGTGCTCTACAGCAGAACTTCATCAGGTTGCTCTTACTTAAAGAAACCTTTCAATGTTCTTTGAAGAAGTGTAAATTCCCAACTCAGGTTTACACTTGACATTTAGAACACAGGCACTGGCAGCATGCCGCAAACCTGAAGGGAATTCTTTCAGAAAAGGAAGACAAAGAAGTTTTTTTTAAAGACAGAGTCTCGCTCTGTCACCCAGGCTGGAGTATACTGACTAGATCTTAGCTCACTGCAACCTCCGCTTCCCGGGATCAAGCGATTTAAGTGATTCCTGTGCCACCACCTCCCAAGAAGCTGGGATTACTTGGGAGTTTGAGTCACCATGCCTGGCTAATTTTTGTATTTTTAATGGAGGGGGGGGTTCGCCATGTTGGCCAAGCTGGTCTTGAACTGCTGAACTCAGTGATCTGTCCATTTCATCCTCTCAAAACTGCTGGGATTACAGGTGAAAGCCACAGGGCCCGGCTGATGAAGATAATTCTTTTTTTTGAGATGGAGTCTCGCTCTGTCTTCTAGGCTGGAGTGCAGTAGCGCAATCTCAACTCACTGCAATCTCTGCCTCTCGGGTTCAAGCAATTTGCCTCAGCCTCCCAAGTAGCTGGGATTACAGGTGCTTGCCATCACACCTGCCTTTTTTTTTTTTTTTTAGTAGAGACGGTTTCACCATGTTGGCCAGGCTGGTCTTGAGTTCCTGACCTCAAGTGCCACCCACCTCAGCCTCCCTAAATGCTGGGATTATAGGCGTGAGCCATTTGGCCTAGCTTAAGATACTCTTAAGGCCTTATTTTTGCAAAGTGCCTAAATCTTGGACTATTTGGAAAGAAAGGTAATTAACACCTTCCATTTTCTCTCCCTTTCCCCTCTGCCACCATCCCAGCACCTTCAAAGGTGACCTCGGGAAATCAGTTCCTTTGATAGCTCCGAGATGGCATGGGCTGCTCAGTTCTGTAACCAGAGCCTCTGCAGCTGGCAGGCTGATGGCCTCACTTCCGCTTAGTGCTGGTCTTCTCACCTTCCAGAATGAAATGCTAGAGTCACCCTGGTATGGCCTCCTCAGGAAAAGGTACTTCCACATGGGCACTAGCCAGCAACCTCATCCCCTCCCCATGGCATAACTTTAAGGATGTGCAAAGCTTCAAAACCTGTGATCTGCAGAACAGATTCTATAATTGGGATTGTTCTGTACTGTTTGTTTTGACAGAGTGGGAGTGGCCAAGGCGGCATCTCAGGGGTAGGTCACAAAGCCAACGTATTGGGAAGAAAGATTCTCAGAGCATGCTGCTGATAACATCTTTTATTTGCAGAGATGAGTAAAGTAATTCAGTCCTTGTCCTCAAAATACATCCTGTGAACTTTACTCAATGACCTTCACTTGAACCCCTCCTCCCTTCTCTAGTCTTTTTGAAGTATCTAAGAATGGGCTGCATACATAACACAGTTATGACAAAGATGCCTCTAATGTACCAAGGCAGGCAATCACTTTCAGTGAGGGCACAGCCTGGTTCCTACCAAACCTCTTCTTCCTCCCTTCCCTCCACTCCCACCATTCACCCAACAGAGCACACATGTAAGGAACTCATGCTGGGTGAGCAAAGGCAGAC